TAATTATTTTTTTGGTTTTCTTTCTTGAGTGATATTTGTTCCTTGCTTTCTGTTTTGCTGTTTGTTTTCTGTGTTTGTTGGTTCCTGAGGTTGCCTCTAGTGATTATGATTGTTTGTTTTCTTTTCATGGTAGTCATTTTTATTCTACTTGGATTGTTTTTTTTTACTTGGATTGTTATGGGAGTGGTAATTATCTTCTGGGATCCAATCCCAGTACTCCCTTGAGAATTACTTGTAAGGGTGGTCGTGTGGTGATGAACTCCCGCAGTTTTTGTTTGTCTGAGAAATATACTATTTGCCCTTCATTTCGGAAGGACAGCCTTGCAGGGTAGAGTATTCTTGGCTGGCAATCTTTGTCTTTTAGTATTTTGAATATATCATCCCATTCCCTTCTAGCCTTTAGGGTTTGTGTTGAGAAGTCTGACGTTAACCTGATTGGAGCCCCCTTATAGGTGATTTGACGCTTCTCTCTTGCAGCTTTCAAGATTCTCTCTTTGTCCTTGAGTTTAGTCATTTTGACTATAATATGCCTTGGTGAAGCCCTTTTTGGGTTGAACACGTTTGGGGATCGTTGAGCTTCTTGGATCTGAAGATCTGTGGTTTTTCCTATGTCTGGAAAGTTTTCTGCCACTATTTTGTTGAATATGTTTTCAATACATTCACCTTTTTCCTCCCCTTCTGAAATACCCATGATTCGGATATTTGAGCGCTTAAGGTTGTCTAATATCTCTCTCAGATTTTCTTCGATATCTTTGATACTTTTTTCTTTTTTCTTGTCTGCTTGTATTATTCCAAAGAGCCCATCTTCAAGAACCGAGGTTCTCTCTTCAACTTCCGTTATCCTGCTAGTTAAACTCTCCAATGTGTTTTTTATTTCACTGAATAACTTCTTCAGTTCAGCAAGTTCTGCTACATTTTTTTTTATGACAATGATTTCCTTGTACATTTCCTCTTTCAGCTCCTGTATGTTTTTCCTGGTTTCATCATGCTGTCTAGCTGTGTTTTCTTGTATCTCATTCAGCCTCTTTAGGATTAACACTCGAAATTCCCTGTCATTCATTTCAAGGGCTTCTTGTTCTATAGGATCTAGAATTTGAGAATTATTGACTTTTGGTGGTGTATGTTCTTGGTTTTTTGCATTTCTTTTTGGATGTTTATTCATTTTGGCAGGGATTTTCTCTCGAATCTTGGACTTCCGACAGTAGATGGCGCTATCGAGCCTTGGAAATCCTTCCAGTGGGCTGTCAACTACTCCTTTCTTTCTTTATTTATTTCTGAGATTCCGCCTCTTTTAGCCGGGTCCCTCCCCACTCTGTGTGCTCAGGACAGGGCTGAGGCGTGTCTTCTATAAGCCTTGACTTTTAGTTGAGTCATCAAAGTTGTGTCGCGCCCCGCCCTGCCTAGCAGGTGACCTAATTCTCCGGACTGGGGGGGAGGAGGGAGGGTCAGTCAACCCACAATTTCTCCTTGCCTTCCCCTCACTTGGGTCGGCTCCCTTAGAAACCCGACTGGTACACTTCAATGTAACTCGAGGGGGACACCGGGCTCCCCTCTCCCCACCAGAAATCAGTTAGGGGTACTTCCAAACTGAGGTCCCCAGAGATGGAATCTGCCTCTCGGGAAGAGGGAGTTTATCTGTAGCTGTCGCCTAGGGTGTGACGGTGAGACGATCTGGGCGGGCTTCTCATCCCAGCCCCCCCGAGGCTGGCCGGGGGTTTCCCACGCTGCCGGCCCCTTCTAAGAACCGTGGGCCGAGTGGGACTACAAGCCCCAGGATGCTCTGCGTCAAGGTAAGCAATTAGCTCGTCCCAGCGGGGAGCCACGCCAGACAGAGATGACTGGCCAGCCCTCACTATTCCGGGCTTGCCTGGCTCCACCCTAGAAAAACCCGTCGCCATTTTAGTTCTCTAAACTAACTGGCATCTCAGCTCACTTTCTTTCAGATAATATACTTCCCATGTCTCCCGAAGACAAAAAGCTCTGGAAATTCCCAGGATAAAAGGGCAGTGAGAGCTTGCCCAAGGCCTGGGAGTCAGCGTTGCTAGGAAGTCTTCCACCTCCAGGGAGAGCAGAATTTAAACAACTGGTCACTTCAGATATATTTTTAAAGGAATATATCTTAGACAGAATTGAATCTCATTTCACTTCTGTTCTAGTCCCTTCCCTCTTTCTCTAGAGTTAACTGCTATTCTGAAATTAGTAGAAAGCACGTAAGTTTATTTAAATTTTTTATTATATGTGTGTGACCACAAACAATATTGAATTGTTTTATGTTTTACAAATTTACATACACGATAAATGTGCAAATTTTTATTGGTTAATATGCAGTTTGGAGATGAACACTTATATAGACATTGTTTCACTTGTAATTTATATTCTTTCTGTTTATAAGTAAATACTATTCAAAGTTACTAACTTTGATATCAATATATAGACATGTATGTATAACAAGATACTTCAAAAAGTTCATGGCAAAATAGAATTAAAACATAATACAAATCTTTCCATGAACTTTTTTTAAGGACACTTGTATTCTTTCTATTCAGTCAAAAAGCTATCATTTTATTTGAATTTAAGTTTCTAGTATTTTAGTCACTCTAAAATTTTGCTTCTTAAGCATTTTAATCTGTGCTGTTTTTAACAGTTGACGAACCTATGTCAAATCATGTTTTTGTGAAACAGTATGAACTATCACATTGCTCTCTATGTTAATAAGTGTCATTCATTTAAATTGTATGGGTATTTTGTCAAAATAATAGGCTTTATTATTTTTATAAACAACAGGTTATAGACAATTACAGTACATTGCATATACATTGTGATATAATTGTGATATTGTGATATAATTTTGTGATATAATTTATATGCTATATGCATATAATTTGTAATTTTTACAATTACATAGATATTTTATAAATATATATATATTATATATATATAAAGATATTTTCTGCAAGTTTTTATCGTAAGTAAAACTAGTTTATAACAGCTTGCAGTTTTCTATTTAAAATATTACATTTGAAAGGCATTTCTCTTAATGATTCTATTTACTTAATTTTTCATTATCTTTTATGATTTCTTAATTGCTGTTTATTGTTGCGTTTTAATTGTCTGTGTAAATCTTCAAGTGTCTTCGCAGGAGGCATTTTTATTATTAGGATTATAATCTCTCTCGGCACAATATTGTCAGACACAGAGCAGGCAGCGAGTAGCTCAGGGAGCTTTCCCTCGGAGCTCTGATGATCACTACAGCTCTCTGGTTTTAGCCTTTCTCGCTCTATTTACCAAAGAAAATGAACTCATTTGTTACTCTTTCCTTGCAAATACCAGACATCACCATTTTATGAATGGTAGATACATAAAAATCCTTCCCATTTTTTTTTTTTTTCCTGTTTGATTTCTTATGTTGTAGAGACTCAGGAGGTTGGGAGGTTTGCCTTCCATTTTAATCTTAGCTTTGCCTTCCTTTATTTGAGTAAATGGTAAAGGTTAGAGATTTTTGTGGAGCTTTAGAAAAGGAATAAAGCACACACAAGATATGTTTTGATAAATGTTAGAGAAGATGTATTAAGAACCTGTAGGATTGCCAAAAAAGGCATTCGGGATAGAGAGGGGAGGTGTCCTAAGCAAGCAATCACTCACAGACTGCTATACAATCTTGGGCTACCGGAGCAATTTTTCATTTCAGATAATATTGGAATGAAATGTACTAGATGTAGAAAATTTACTGCATTCCAGAACATGACAACTTGAGGACAACTTGCTTGCGGACTTCCGCTTACTTGTGTAGATAGAGTTTTACTGTTTTTGTAGTCTGAAATAGATACCTAAATTGCCCTTGATAGACATATACCTATTATGTAAGTATTACAATGTTTAGCTTGGTATTTCAGATATTTTTGTCCCAACACATACACACGTAACATTAAAACTAATATTTGCTACTTATATTATGGCTTACTGTTTATACACACACACACACACACACACACACACACATATCAACTATAAGCATATATATTTTATAGCTGCCTACATAAGACTAATGAATTAAGAGAAAAAAAGATTTTTAATAAGGTTCCATCTATGATTAAAAACAAAGGAAAAAAAAGAAGTAACTTCCATTGTTAAATCAGTATGGCATGTTAACATTTTCAAAGAATTATTCATTTTCTCAGCTAATGTAACTGTACATTGTTTGATCAGAACATTGGACCTAATTACTATAGCTAACGTAAATCAGTCTTATAATTTTAGACTTGTGCATGCCTGTATGTTTCCCCTAAGCGTATTAGCTGCAGGTGTAATGCATCCCTTGGTGTTAACATGATGTGTTATCAGAAGACCATGTTTGACAAATAAAGTTACATTTCTAAAAGCACTCGTGGGAGAAAATATTGAGCCTTTAGTCAATTGTCTAGGCCTTCTTACATTTTTGGTGATTAAACGGAAGAGATTAAATATGGTAAGTATTTTAAGACCTATCTGGGTTCAAACTTCAGAAGATTATTTAAAGAAACACTTGACAGAATTCTTTTCAGAAATAGATGCAAAGGTATAGTAGATTTGAGTGTATTATAGTTTTAAAAGGTTGCTACTTTTAGTGCTGTACACTTCTAAATGGACAGACTAGATGGGCAATGGAGGGAAAGTGTTTTTGTTATAAAATGACACACACTCTTAAAGTGACTTATCCACTGTGTATTTACAGGGTTTTAGATAAATGGTGGTGATTTACAAATGTCTTTCTGTAGTGAACCTGGTAGGCATTGAAAGATGCTTATAGGTGTACCACATACAGAACAGATGGTGGATATTTACAGGAGAACTTGTTACAATTGCTTAATGCCAGCAGATATAAGAGAAGCCAAGGAAAATAACCTTCTCTGTTGACAGTGGGGCATTACTGGAATAAACAATGTACCTTGCAGTTACAGGGCCCAAAACAAGGGTCCTCATTTGTGCTCCCTAAGCCACTGCAGTTGCAGGGCTTGCAGTCTGGGTAGCCCATGTAGCCCCTGGCACACCGATCACAGCTCACTCCTCCAAAGCCAGTTTTGCAATGACAGGATCCAGGTGCCAGACCTAAGGAAAATAAGCCACATGTCAACATTTTTAAAACTAGATACATTATTTAGTTCTTAAGGTTTTAATTATAGTAAACTTTAAAAATCTATTTTGACACAAAAATTAGGTTCTTAATATATGTCAATAAGGAAAAGTTAAAACAAAAAGGTATAGGATTTAACTAGAAGCTTGTGCAATTATGTTAACATAGCATTTTAAAAGTACCTTTAAAATTAATTTAAATCTCGAAGCATCTACCAAAACTAAGGCTATAGAAAAATCGTAGCAATGATCAAGGAGTAATTTCCAAAACACTCAGGCTGATGACACTACAGTGAGAAGAGATGTAGTCACCTGTGCATACCTGATGGCTCATAAAACAATCTTGCCCCACCAGACTATTGCAAGGTGGAAAAGAGCCTTAAGAGTAAAGATACAGTACTTAAAACAACAACTTAACAATGATAATTCTAAAGACAACATTGCTGGCAGTACTACAAAAGAAAAGACTAAAGGTGTTCATGGGAATCGATATTTGGGGGATAAATGAAGAAATAGGAGAGAAAAATAAAAGCACTGTAAATGTACCTTTTTTTTAATACAGAGAAATGCAAGAGACATTTTTTTTTATACTGTGTGGAATTTTTTATTATTATTTTTTTATTTTTTATTTTTTATTTTTTTACATTCTATGAAGTTGTAGCAGAGCAGTTGGGGGGGGAGAGGGGAAAAGGGAAGGAAATGGGATAGAAGAAGGAGGAAGGAGGAGGGGTGGGATTGAGGCCTCTGGCACCCCCCTCATTCCCACAGGGGAGACCAGGGGCTTGCAGCAGTGGCTTGGTCATTGCTGGGCTGGATGCAGATGTCAGGCAGGTGTGGCAAAAGCCCTCGACCCCCAGCTCCCTAGTTTGGGAACCCAGGGCCCTTCTTGCTGTGGCTTGGTGGTTGTGACTGGGCTGGTTGCATGTGACAGGGGGTGTGTGGCTGAGGCCCTTGGCCCCCCATCACCCCGCTTGGGAGAGCCCACAATGTTTCAACTAAAGGCAATTTTTTTATTGATATCTTTGATTAGAAAAATAGAAAAAATGTAGAATGAATGAATACAAGTTAAAGAACTTCAAAATATGGAAAAATATAAGAGCAAATCAAAGAAATACAGTCCATCAGAAAAGAGAAAGGAGGTGAGAAAAAAGCAAGGAAACATTGTGGTAAGAAAGCATAAAGCTGGGCCGGCCCGGTGGCGCACTGCTACAGTGCGCCGCTTGGGAGCGTGGTGGCGCTCCCGCCGAGGGTTCGGATCCCACATACAGACCGGCGGCTCACTGGCTGAGCGAGGTGCGGGCGCAACACTGAGGGTTGCGATCCGTTGCCGGTCACGAAAAGAGACAAAAAGGAAAAAAAAAAAGAAAGCATAAAGCAGAATGATAGAAATAGTGTCAAACATATGTACTAAACATATATAAATGAGTTAAATAGACTGTTTCTATTAAAAACATGTGCATAGAATATGCACAGGAAATACACAAAATGACCAGAAATATAAAAATAAAAGAACATAAGTATACATTAGGAAAGCAAATAGAAAAGAAAAAAAAACAGTTGTACTAATATTAATTGGGGCCAAATTAGAATTTAAATAAAATAGATTCAATAGGAAAAGTTCTCATTTTACACTGATAAAGATGTAATAAAAAACTGATTTGTTATTTTATTTATGTTTTAAATAAGCACTAATCATAAGTACAAAAATATATAGATAACAAAAGATACTGGAAATCAAAGAAAAATTGTTCAAAAATCAATGACTGAGATGATATTAACCTGCCCACTTTAAATATTTACAGATGAGTTAAGAAAAAAAACCCATAAAATTTGACAATCTAATAATGTTGAATTATATATTGTATAGTACATAAATATAAATATTTACCATAGCTTATCATTGTCATCATTGACTAAGCTACAAAAATGTTCAACTTATCAAAGTGGAAATTAAGGCTTATTTTCTAACATACATTACAACTTCTAGATTTACATCAAATGCTTTAATAAATTAGGATTGAATTAATTATGAATATCAAATATGACAGTAGAAGTTTACACAAAATTCAACAACTCTAAAAATTAATAAGTAAATATCCCTCCTTAATAATTACTGGGTTAAAGAGAAAATAAAACCTTTAATTGCAAATTAAATAGTTTTCTAAGTAGACTATAATAGCAGTGAGAAAGAAACTCAGAAATGTTTATCAAACATGGAAAAACTATAACCAAAAGTAAACTTACAGGCCTAAATAGTTCTATTATTTTAAAAATATATAAATAAATTAAAATTTAATTCATGGAATTATAAAATAAGATAAAAACAAAATGAACACCACAGTAGAGAATAGAAATTTGAAAAGCAGAAGAAAAGCAAGCAAAATTCCAGATAGATTATGAAATTAAGTGCAATAAAATGAAATCAAACAAATGAAGATAATATAGACATTTGACTAATTTGGGGATAGATGAGAGTTTTAGGATTATAAAGGCATGTAAGAAATCCAACAGGAAAAATTAAAATATACAGTAATCTCAGCATAGTGTCATTATGATAGCTAAAAAAGGTTATCTGAATTTGATGGCTTATTATATAAAATTTTTTTAAGTTCTGTGTATTACAAATCTTTGTCAACAACAGTGAGACACAAAGCAAATCTGGAAATTGTATATAACAAATATAGCATACTATTATTGTTTTTTAAAAAATAGCTCTTACAAATCTATTGGGGGGGAAACTACTTTACACCCCTCCAATGAAAAAAAAACAAAAATTTCACGGAAGAAATACATACTTCCTTAAAAATCAAGCTAATGCCAAGAAGACACTGGAATATCATTTCTTACTATCTGGTTACCCAACCTAAGAAGTTCAAACCATTTGACCACACCTTTCCCAAAGAGATCATCAGACTAAGCATGAAGGTAAAAATGTATTATGAGTATGTGTCCAATTTTTCAACTCAGGTCTATATTGAATGACATGTATCTAATTACAATATTACAAATCTTGACTATTAGATTTAAATTTTAAAATTATAATAACTAATTAGTGGCCTAGAATCGAATATAACTGTTAAAATCTTTGAAAAGATAAATATGAAATTGACAGACACTGCCAAGTGGTGGAGAACGTAGAGCCGGTTTTCTTCTGATCTTGCACAGTAGGATCTCAAAGACAGAGTGTAAACTTAAGATCATGAAACAGAGATTTAAGCTTTCTATTTAATATGGTAAAGATACTGTAAAATAAATACAGAATAAAAAGGTATAAATGGTAAAGAGAAGGAGGGAGGAGGTGTGAATGAAACATTTCTTTGCCTTTCAAGGTGAAAAGTCCATAGGGAATATTTAATGGCAACAAAAATAATAAGAATATTATTTAGATATTGGAGGTAATTCACGAAAGAACTGAATAGGAGAAAATGCTTGATATGGTTAAACTTGGAAATAGGACTGGGGGTCAATAGGTTGAAGAGGACACTATTGCTGTTTATTTTATTCCCTTCCTTATTGTTAAAAATTTATTTTGCTACATATTATTTTTATAATTGAAAAATATTTATATACAAAAGTCTTTATCAAAGTATTGCCTACAGAAAAATCTGAAACAATCTTAATGTTGAGTAGGTAAATAATTATAGTACAACTATATAATGATGTATTATTTCGGTGCTAAAACCAGATTTCAGAGAAATTTTTAAAAGATTTGGGAATAAACCCAGGTAAAATCAGAAAGAGCAATATCAAGAATTTCTCTATGCATTATGACCAAAATATACAAAAATGTTAATAGTGGTATCCTTGCTGAATTACCACTGCATCGTATATTTATTTTTCTATTTTTATTTTATTTATTTATTTTTTTTATAACTTTCTCAATGATAATATACTTATCATTTAAAAAGGGGAGGGACAGGCCGGCCCGGTGGCGCACTCGGTAGAGTGCGGCGCTCCCGCCGAGGGTTCGGATCCCATATAGAGAACGGTCCGCTCACTGGTTGAGCGGTTGCGATCCCGTTACCGGTCACGAAAAAAGACAAAAAGGACAAAAAAAAAAGGGGGGGAGGGAGACTTAAGTGACATTAGTGAAAATAATGTGATTTAGCTGTTTCCAAAAAAAGGAAAGGGGGCTTAAAATGAAAGATCATCTCAGTAATTCACCATTTAAATATTAAAATATATCAGTTTGTAATATTTTAGGATTTAATACTCAAATTGATAATTCTACAGTTTAATAAAAAAAAAAAAGGCAGGTAAGCTAAACTGTACCAAAGAAGCACTGCCAGTCTTTTTAACTCTAAAATCATTAGGAGAAAAAACCTACATCCTAGCTGTGATTAATTTTAGACTTTCCAAAGAGGGGACAAACTCACTCTTCGAGATATAAAGAAACTGTTCCAGATACATTCTATGAATTCTCTACTTCAACTTGGCAAGCAAGTAGCTGGAAGTAGCTCCCAAACATTTTACACCAAGTTATGCTGGCATCTGATTCCTGAATGTTTGGAGTTCATCACTTATTCCTCAAAGAAAGTTTTTGGCTTAAATTAGTGTCAGTCTCTTTCCCTTCGTTTACTCACAACTGCTGCCTTTTCTAGTCCTTCATGTGCACTTCTTGCTTTCGATATTATTGCCTACATGTCTCCTCTGTCTGCTCTTCCCTTTGCAGCTCATGCCCCCCTCAATGAGTGTTTTCATTTCACACTAGAATCCATAGAAGCTACAACACAATCTAATAAATAACAAGACAAAAAATTACATACGCCACAGATTTGTGTTGACTCTCTCTCTCTCTCTCTCTGTCTCTCTCTCTCTCTCTCTCTCTCTCTCTCTCTCTCTCTGTGTGTGTGTGTGTGTGTGTGTGAATATATATATATACATCAAAACAAATGATTCAACTCCTTTTGCTTTCAAAGCATTGTAATTAAACATGAAACTAATTATTGAGATAAATATAAAACTTCTTCCTGGAGGCAACTCTGATAGATTTAAGAACATTTATTACATGAATAAATGTACTGCAGAATGTTCTGAAAATAATCCTATGTGGCTTTGAGTTGTTCTTCCCTAAGAGCAGTGCTGTCTACTACAGCTCTCACCTCGTCGGGCTCGTTTCTCATCCTTTACACAGACTTCATTTAAGGAACCGACCGGATCACAATGACACGGCTGGCACGGTCTTGGGTAATTTGGAGATACCTAACAAAAATATTAAAATGCTTTGAATCAAGTGTAATAAAAACAACAATATTTTTCAAATTGGCAAACTTTTAAGGACAATTTAATTTTAATAATACACGATAACAAAAAAATTGAGAAAATTATAAGAAATTACCTTTAATACGTTTGCAATTTCTAAGATCCAATTCTTTTAAATAGATACACAAAAGTAAAGAGGATAGTCTAATAAACACATATATTTGTTACCTAGATTCAACAATGGTCAAGATTTTGCCATATAAGTTTTATCTCTTTTTATCCTTTGCTGAGTTTTTTAAAAGAAATTCCAGACAAAGAACCTTGAATTCCTACACATCTCAGGATGCAACTGTTTTATTACCACAGTGTCACTATCATTACAACGAAAAATAACAATGTATGTTTGGTGTACTCTAACATATATTCCATAATAAAGTTTTTCTGATTGCTTTGTTTTTTATTACAACAGAGTCAAATTAGCAATGCAAAAAGTTTCCCCCAAATTTATTTTTCAAGAACTTTTCTCACATTGATCATGGTAGGATTAATTAAATAGAAATTTATATTTGGTGGTTGAGAAAAGATAATATTAAATATTTAAATTAAAAATTTGACTTTCTGTGAGGCCGCATAACCCGGGAGGAAACAATGTGGATTCCATAATTAGTAAAACTTGAGATCATATCCCAGCGAGACCACTTACTGGCTTGTGCAGTTGATTTCCTTGTAACATGAGGATAATAATAGCAACTACCATAATGTTACATAAATTAAAATGAAAAGGAATAACATATAAAGCATCTCATAAGATTCCTGGCATATATTAAATACTTAATATAAATAGTAGCTTTTACTGTTGGGATATTTTAATTAAACAAACTTAGACTGTGCTAATATACTATATATAAAATATTTATTTTCCAGATGGAATAACAAAAGAACAAAAAAATTAAATTAGTTGCCTAGGAAATACTGAAAATACTGCTGAAATAAAGACATATATTAACATACACATGTTAGTCCCCTCCCCATGAAATATAGCTTTCATATACGTATATATCTAGACTTAATTTACAAATGGAAACTTGCTTGCTAATATAAATCAGATTGTTAAAACGAGTTATTTTCATATCTGACTGAATATCAATCAACTGGTTTCACACATCAGTTTCAAAGTCATCATTTAGTTAAGACCCATTCATTCATCCCCCATTGTGAAGTAAGGACTGGACTGCATACAGCACAGACAGGTAATGCATGGTCCCTGCCTTAAACAAGCTTACAGGAATAACAGATTTGAAAGACATTGATTAAAGAGAATGTGCCAAGTGATAAAACAGACGTAGAAAAAGACTGTTATGGGGCAAAAGAGGGAGTAATAACACAACACAATGAAGTCAATCAATGTTTCACAGAAAAAGTGACATTTAAAATGAAGCTTGAAGTATGAGTAGAATTGGGAGAATGGCTATAGAAGCCACTAAGACATGAAAAAAAAACACAAAAACAAAAAACATTCTGTGGGCTTACTGCAAAAAGTTTCTTGTGGATAAAATTTTGACTCTTAGAAGTACAATTTATGATCCCAATGATGAGCTTGAGCAAACCAAAGCCTCCTATTTATTCTCACCACTTGTAATTGGGGAAATCTGTCTGAATCAGATTGTTGATCAGGAAACCTTCTAACCTATGAGATTCTGCAAACATATCAATTTTACATTGATTTTTAATCCTATTAAAATAATAATTCAGATTACTAATTCATCCTTTAACTTAGCATTGCATAATATATATAGATCATATTTGTTTATATACATAATTTATATATATATAAATTAAATATTTAGTAGATAATCTAAAATCTAATTTTAAGACAGTAATTTAAAGAACATCAAAAAGATGTTGTCTAACTAAGTTGCAACGCACAAAACTTTTCTTTCTACATCTTTATAAAAACACAATGAGCTTGTACCCAAATAGTGAATGCTTGAAAGATTTGCATTTTTTTAACATATAGTATAGCATAGATATTTTTATTTGTATTAAAAAACCAAAATCTAGGGCTGGCCCGGTGGCACACTGGAGAGTGCGCCACTTGGGACCACGGCGGTGCTCCCGCTGAGGGTTTAGATCCCATGTGGAGACCGGTTCCTGCTCACTGGCTGAGCGCGGTGCAGGCGCGACACCGAGGGTTGAGATCCCATTACCGGTCAGTAAAAAAGACAAAAAAGAAAAAAAAAACAAAAAACAAAATCTAGGTTCAGATTCACTTATTACTTAACTTGCAATAAAAACTTGATCAAGCTTCCAGTTCTGATACTAGCTAAGTGTCTTGTATGGAACTAACACATCCTCTGATAACAATTATGAATTGCGGACAAAATATAAAAATCAAATATTTGAGTACTTGGGAGAATAACCAAGAGTAGTCAGAAACTGGAAAGATTTGATGTTTGAAAGAAAAAAAAAACACTGGACAAGATCCATATTTATAGAGGGATGGGATCAAAATCTGCATAGCAAGACTCTTCAAATGCTTAACCGATGCCTTTATTGGATGACGGTATTTCAAGAAGTTCATGGAAAAATAGAATAGAAAGATAATACAAATCTTTCCATGAACTTTCATTTAGGAGACTCCAAGGAATACAGTGAAAAGCAACAGCTGGAAATCTGAATAACCTGAACAGAGTTTTCAAGGGCTGCACACGATAAAGTAAACAGATATTGGAGTTTAAGTCAACTAAGTTAGAAACATTTGAGAAACACCTTGAGCTTTTCATCAATCTGCCCTAACAAAGTGTAAAAGCAAGCCTCTATAACTTCATGGTGATCACTCAGTGAGTTTACTACTAATGAGCACACAATTCAAAATCTTTAGAGGAAGATAATAGAATACAGGACTTCTACACTGAATTCTCCAAAATGTCCTGTATCGATTATGAATTACTAGATATGAGAAAAAACAGGAAGATCTGACCTTATTTTTAAAAAAGTCAATAAAAGCAATCCCGAGGTTACAGAGGTATCAAAATTAGTATACAAGGCAGTCAATGCAGGCACTGTAAAGATGTCCAAGAACATAAAGCAAATAGTAAGTGAATGCATGGCATATTTGAGCAGAGAAATAGAAACCATAAGAAATACAAGAACTCCAGAAAGCTTGAAAGTAAAATACCTTAATTGAAAAGTTCACTGAATTTGCTTAATATCAGTTTAGAGATGGCAGGAGAAAAAGCAGTCAACCTAATGACATAATGACAGATAAATAGAAACTAACCAATTTGGAGAACAAGAAAGAAAAAAGTTTATAAAATTAGTATTTGCTTCAGTAACCTACAGGACACAATCAAGCAACCTGAATGCATGTAGTTAGAGCCCAGAAGGAGAAGAGAGAGCATGGGTCACAAAAATATATTTTTAAGGAAGTAATGGCTTATAATTTCCTATATATGGAATAAAATCTAAAGTTATAGTTCCAAGAAGCTCAGTCAACCAAGCAGGATAAGCACAAAGAAAGCCAACACAGACACATCATATTCTAACTCTGAGGGTGGAAACTTTTACTGTAAAGGGCCATATAGTAAAATATAGGTTTTGGAAGCCATATAAGGACTCTGTTTCTCTTCCTCCTCCTCCTCCTCTTCTTCTTTTCTTTCTTCTGACAAACTTTCACAAATGAAAAAACATTCTTTGCTTACAGGTTGTACAAAAATAAGCCAAGGCCTAGATTTGGTCTACAGGTCAAAGTTTTTCAATACATGGTGTAAAGCTAAAAGGCAAAGATAAAGAGACTATCTTGAAATCAACTAGTGAATTAAAAATACATTACAAATAAAAGAACAAAGATACAAATGATGTCTGTGTTCTCATAAATAATCAATGATATCTAGAAAATAACAGTACTACATCTTTAAAGTGCTGAAAAACAAACACTTCTGTTCCTACATTGAGAATATCCTTCAATAATGAGGAGAGAATAAAGATATTTTCAGATAAAAGAAAGCTGAGAGAATTTGTCACCACTAGTTCTGCACTACAAAAAAAATGCTAAAGGAAGTTTTCCAGGCATAAGAGAAATAGGTATGAAAGTACTGAAGGGTACTAGAAATGATAAATATATGGTTAATGTGAAACTTTTTTTTTCTTCTCTTCACATCTTTAAAAGAACAGTGACTTCAAACAAAAATTACAACATTGTATTGGTGGCTTACAATTTATGTTCAATATATGAAAACAATAGCCTAAAAGATAAGTGTAGATGAAACTGTACTATTGCAGAGTTTTAATTGTATGTGAGGTATTATGTTACAGCAGTTACTCTGAGCACATAGTAATAAGTCAAGAACGTATATTGTAATCACTACAGCATGAACTCAAAAGATAATACACTAAGAGAAACATCTAAAAAGATGATAAAGGAAGTAAGTTACTGAAAAATATTTGTTTAATGCAAAAGATAGAAAATGAAAAATTGGAACAATTTGTGAGATAAACAGAAAACAAAGAGCAAAATCCAATCCCATCATTAATTACATTAAATGTATGAACTAAACCCACAGTTTAAAAGACAATGATTGTCAGGATAAAAAAAGCAACACCCATCCATTTTACTGTTTATTAGTGTCCTGCTTTTAAACGAAGGTACAAATAGGTTGAAAGGAAAGAAATTGGAAAAGATACACCATACAGACAGAGTAAGCATAAGAAAGCTAGTATATCTATATTAATAGGAGAAAAAAGTAGATTGTATGACAAAAAGTTTTCTCTATGATTAAGTGGAAATCTTAATAACTGTTAAAATGTCTAGTTATAAGGTACAAAAAAACAAAAGATGTGGAAAATTCTAAATGTATATGCACCTAAAAATAGTGCTTCAAAGTACATGGAAAAATACCGACAAATGAAAGGTGGGAATTCACAATCATAGATTGGACAAATCCACACTAGCAGCAGTTAACACCTTCAGGATAAACCTTCTCAAGTGCACATATTAGTTTACCTAGAGACACCATGCACTGAGCAATAACATAAATAACCTCAATAAAAGTCTAAAGTTTGACATCTTAGAAAATGTGTTCTCAGATTATAAGACATCCAGTGTAGAACTCAATGAAAATGTGGTAGTCAATAAAGTCCAAATATTTGGAAATTAAACAACAAAGAACAAATCACAAGAGAAACTAGAAGTTATTTTAAATAAATAATAATAAACATAAAGAATTTTTGAATTCATGGGAAGCTGCTAAAGAACCTATTAGAATGAAATTTATATTTAAATGCTTATATTATAAAAGGAGAAAAAGTTTAAAATCATAATCTAAGTTTCCAAGTTGATAAGTAGCAAAAAGAACAGGAAATTTAAACCCAAATAGGTTAAAGAAATAATATAATAAATATAAGCACAGATACCAATAAACATAAAAGAAAATTAAAAAGGCAAAAGGTTTTTTGAAAAGATCAAGAAAATTGATAAATCCCTAGCATAATTTATCACTAAAAAAGAGAAAAAAAGTTAGTAATTTTAGGAATTAAAGAGGAGATATCAGAATAGAAACTATATACTTAAAAAAGATAGGAAAAATTTTTAAACAATTTTATGCCAATAATTTGACAATTTAAATAAAATGAACAAACCCCTTGAAAATACAGTGTATCAGAACAGACCCCTCCCTGAAAAATACAAAACCTATTTAGTCCCATATCTAATAAAAATATTCAATATATTCACAAAGTTCTTCCCACAAAGAAAACTAGAGTCTCAGATAGTTTTACTAAGGAATTCCACCAAGAATTTCAAAAAGAATTAATTCCTGTCTTACACAAATTATTTTAGAAAACGAAGGAAAAGAAAGCATGTTCTAGCTCATTTGTTGAGGCCAGTATACCCCAGGACAAAAACCTGATAAAGACATTACAAGAAAACAAAATTACAGACCAATATCTCATATGAGAAGATGGAAAAATATTTAACCAAATAGAGCAAAGCAAATCATTTAATATATAAAAATGATAATATGTCATGTAATAATAACCATAACCAAATTGAGTTTAACCCACAAATGTAAAGTTGGCTTCATATGTGAAACATCCATCAGTACACATTGACCACATTAATAGAATAAAGAAGAAAATTCTTATGTTCATTTTAGCAGATGCAGAAAGGCATTTGACAAAATTCAATACCTTTTTATTATAAAACTCTCAGCAACCTAGGATTAGTAAGGAACCTGCTGGATCTGATAAAGGGCATCCATAAAAAAGTCCACAACTCCCATCACTCTCAATAGTGAAATATCATATATTTGCCATTAAGATTGAAAACAAAGTAAAAATGTCATCTCTCACTATTTTTAGTTAACATTGGCATAAAGATGGTAAAGGAAGGAGTAAGCCTGAATTTATTTGCATGCAATATTATTGTTTATATGTACACTTATACAAAATGTAGTTTAAAACTACTAGAATTAATAAATAAACTGATAATGGACATAGGACATAAAGTCAATATTCAAAAATCTTTCTAATAATGACAGTAAATAACAAGAAAATTTTCTAAAAATTTATAATGCAAAACAAAATACTATATTAAATTTAACAAAAGACATGCAAGATCTTTACAGTGAAAATACTGATGTAAATAATTAAAGAAAATAGAAATAAATGGAGAGATATGCTGTGTTTATTAATTAAATGACTCAATATTGTTATGATGTTAGTTCTCTCCATATTTTTTAATGTTTTGTTCAATTTTATTTGACAAATAAAACTGTGTATATTTATCATGTACAACACGATGTTTTGAAATATATATACACATTGTGGAATAGCTAAATCAAGCCAATTAACATATACATTACCTCACATAGTCATCATTTTTGTGGTGAGAACCCAAAATTTACCCTCATAGAATTTTTCAAGAATACAATGTATTATAACTAACCATAGGCCCCCATTGTACAATAGACCTCTTGAACTTATTTCTCCTGTCAAACTGTAATTTTTTTCCATTGACCAACATCTCCACAAACTCCCTTCTCCATTTTTGAATATAGATTCTGTGCAATAATCCTAATATTTTCTGTAAGTGACAAGTTGATTCTAAATTATCACATTTAAGGGATACCTGCACTTCCATGTTCAAAACAGCTCTGTTTACAATAGCCAAGATATGGAACCAACCTAAATGTCCACTGATGGATGATTGGATAAGGAAACTGTGGTATATATACACCATGGAATACTACTCTGCCATAAAAAAAAAATGAAATTCTCCCATTTACAACAACATGGATAAGCCTGGAAAAACTTATGTTTAGTGAAATAAGCAAAGCACAGAGGGATAAATACCGCGTGTCCTCACTGATAAGTGGGAGCTAAGAGAGAAAGAAGGAAGGAAAGAAAGACCACAGTGGCGCGTTGGACTTGCAGTGGGAGAGAACATACATAGGGGGAGGGGGAAGTTGGATGGGGATAATTGGTTGGGAGGCACAGGGTACAAATGCAATTTGTGGTAATGTGTATGCTGCCAGTATGAATCTGGCCTTCGCATCTTGGGCATGAGGGGTGACAAACAGCTTTATATCTCATGAATATTCATAACCAATAAAAAATAAAATAAAATAATATTGTATGGAAATGTAAACTACTATAGACAAAACAATCTTTGAAAAGAAAAATAATGGTGGTGCACTTATATTATCTGAATTCTAGGCTTATTAAAGCTGAAGCAATCAACATAACATGATATTAGCACAAAGATGAAAAAATAAATACAGGGAACATAATCTAAGCTCCTGAAATTGACCCATTTAACCTGGTCAATTGATTTTCAACAAATGGTGCTAGAACAATGGGTTAACCATGTAAATCTCAATCATTACTTCACACCACACATGAAGATTTACTTGATATGGACCATAGCCCTAAAAGTTAAAGTTATAAGTTTTCTAGAATAAAAACATAATATCTTGAACAGGTACTTCACAAGAAAAGATAAAGGAAAGGCCAATAAGCACTTAAAATGAAAGTTAAATCCATAATCAGATACCATTTCTCACCCACTAGATGGCTAAAATTTAAAAAGATAGTCAATATCAAATATTATAGATGATATGTAACAACTGGAATTTACATACCTTTTTGGTCTAAGTGTATGTCATACATTATTATTAATTTGGCAAAACACTGGCAGTTTCTTATAAAGTGAAGCATATACCTATCCTATGAAACAAGCATTCTACTCCTAGGTATTTACACAGTGTAAATAAAAACATGATTACAAAAAGACGTATAAAATTGTTTGTAGGAGCTAATCAACAATGGAAATGATCCAGATATCCATCAACAGGAAAGTAGATTAAAATTTTGGGTACGTCCATGCACAAGAATACCACTCAGCATTTTTTTTAAAGAACTATTGATACACAAACAACATGGATAATCCTTACAATGTTATACTGAGTGAAAGAAGGAAGACACAGATTAGTATGTATTATATGATTTCAGTTTCATCAAATTTAGTAAGAGGCAAAACTAATTTATACTCTAAAAACTCAAACAGTTTTCCCAGAGATATGGAATTGACCAGAATGAGGCATGATGGAACTTTCTGGAGTGACAGAAATGTTTTATCTCACATCCTCAAAGATTTATATCAGTTTCCATTATGAAACATGCCCCATCACCTTTTAAAATTTGAAGTTCAACTTTTTAGAGAGGCTTTCAAAATTATTTTTCTGTATAATACATCTTTGTATGAAAAAGCAAAAGTAACACTTTATGAAAGAAAAAGCATATTTTACCCCTTTGGGTCTGAAGAATCCATCAAGGCATGTCTCACAGTTTATACCAGCAGTATTTTGGGTACAATTAATGCACACACCCCCTCCGATGTACTTTCCATGTATATTTAAACTCAGATTTCTTCTGGCAACATTTTCATCATAATAGCATTCTTCAGCTTTTCCATGACAGTTGCATGCTGCATTAGGGAAAATAAATTAGTAAACATTCATTTCAGGTTTCAGAAACATTTAAAAATCATTTTCTGGGGCTGGCTTATTAGCTCAGTTGGTTAGAGTGTGGTGCTGATTACACCAAGGTCCAGGGTTCGATCCCTGTATCAGCCAGCTACAAAACAACAACAACAAAAATTTCTTGTTATACATAATAAATTTTCATAATGCGTGGAAAATTACATTACATTTAGGATACACATACATGCACATAGAAAGATATCTAGAAAGTATTTGGATTTAATGCATGTATTAATAAATTCACACTTTTTAATGGAATTTGAAATAAGTAAAACATAAATTAAACTGAATCATGTGAAATTGCCAATATTTTACTGATTTTGACTTACAAAAATGTAATTTCCTATGGTTCAATCTATTATTTCTTATTATGACAAAGAATAAATTGTTGAATGCTGGCACTGAATGATTACCAGCCAAGTAATCTGTAGTGAATAATTACTATATGGGAATCTCTGTGTTAGATCCTATGTGTAAAGAAGGACTTGTAAAATATAATTCCTTTCTTTTACTACTAATAACAACTAAAATTTACTTATTTTTTAATATACCAGGCTCTTTTTTTTAGTGTTTTATATTTATTAGCACTAAATTTAATCCTCAAAATATCTTTATGAATCAGGTACTATTATTAACCTCTTTTCATATATTAGGAATCTGCGGGACAGAGAAGTGAAGTACCTTGTAAAAGGTAATCTCCTCAGTATTGGAAACTAAACTCTGAAGTCAGGCTCCAGAGTGTGCACTGCTTAAGAGTACCACAATCTTTCACATTCTACCTGGTGAGCAAGATAAGATACATGTTAGGTGCCAGGTAATCAGGATAAAATGAGAGCTAGTTTGCTTAGTGGCTAAGATCATGCTATTTTTCACCAAACACTATTAGATTTGGATGTAATCTTCACTACTTAGTAGTCATGTGATGTTGAGAACATCTTGATTTCACCAAGGCTCAGTTTCCATATAAAACATGATATGGTCAATAGTAATTACCAGATAGGGGTATTTAAAAGCATCGAGTGAAATAATCCATGTAAAATCATTAGTCTAACGCCTTATAAATAAGTTCTCAATTGATTTTTCTTCCTCTTCATCATCCTTGTCTTTTTTCATGTTACATTACATGAATTTAAAGAAGGAAAAAATCACCTTCCCCAGAAAGGACTAGATAAGGCTTTAAAAATTATGTAATATTTATATTAGGATAAGAACTAGGGAAAGATATTTATGCAGTCTCCTACCTACTTTAGACGTTGAGTTTCTTATGTGTCCTTACATTGATTTCTGCACACATAATGTGTGTACATGTGTGTATGTATAGGTATGCATGTATGCATACATGCTCAATCTTTTTATTTATTCCATGAAGAGTGGTGGGGGGGGGCATTTATATACTGTTCTTAACTGTTTCATTTCACTAACAGTAAATTGTCGAGCTCTTTCCACGTTACGTATTATCCCCTGAGACTACACAGGGAACTACTTGAATGGAGGTATTTATAAAGTCCATATTAGTACAGTAACATTGTTTTTCCTTTATTTTATTTTATTTTTTTTTTTTGTCTTTTGTCTTTTTCCGTGTCCAGCAACGGATCGCAACCCTCAGTGTTGCCCCCGTACCGGACCGGGGACCGGCAATGGGATCGCAACCCTCGGGGTCGCTCCCGCGCCTCACTCAGCCAGTGAGCGGGAACCGGTCTGTATGTGGGATCCGAACACTCGGGCGGGAGCGCAGCCGCGCTTCCCAAGCGGCGCACTTATCCAGTGCGCCACCGGGCCGGCCCTTGTTTCTCCTTTACAAATAACACTGCACATACTGGGAGGACAAGGAGATGGGAGAGGGGTGGGGGCTCTAATGTTAGGAAGTTTCCCATTTGCTCATTGAGTGGCTTTGAGGAGAAAACAAGTCTTAGTGTCATTTTAGCACTTATCTCTTATAGTTGTTTTGAGAATGCTTAGCAGAATGCCTGAGACGTACTAAGTACTCAGCTCGATAAATGTTAGTTTCAGTAGCAATAGCGATTGTATAATAGTTACAAGGATCATGATAATATGCCCTGTACACCTATATGAGGACATCTGTAGGCTAAATTCCTGGAAGTATAATTTCTAGTCAAAGGGCATGTAAAATTTAAATTTTAATCACTTAAAAAATTCTCCTTTAAAAATGCTATGTCAAACAATTCTCACCCCAGTAGAAACCACAAAACTGTTTCCCCAGGGCCTCACCAACATTGTGTATTTTTAACCCTTTTAATACAGTTCCTGGACACAGTAAGCAGTCAAGTATTTGTTAAGTGAATGAGCACTTTGATAAGTTAAAAATAATATTTTCATTGTTTTAATTGGTACTTCCTTAATTATGAGTGTGATCCTTTTATAGGATTATAAGTTATTTCTTTTCTGAGAAATACCTGTTTTGAGCTTTGCTCACTTTTAACCGATTTATTGAATTTTTTCTTATTGATATGTAAGATCTCTTATAAGGATATTATCTCCTCATTACATTTGTTGCAAATATCTTCCCTGACCTACTGACTTTTTATTTAGAATATAGTATTTTTGCTATATTCATGGAGAGCTTCAAACTTTATTTTACAGTAACATGCAGTAATAAATATAAATCAGTAGGCATTATAAGCAATTTTGTATCTTTAGGACAATATACAAGAATTCTCAAGAACCCAGTTGTAAAAATACATTGCAAGAAACAGTCAAGATTTCTGCTGCCAGTATAAGCAGAGGGAAGCATAGAGTAATACAAATTTATTCTCACACAATTTAGAAATCGTGTTGCTACAAGTATTTATAACTATGAGCTAATGAAGGTAAAACACTGATGCCTGAGTAACAGTCCTTCTCATACTCCGTGCAGCCAGGACCCTCTGCCTACGGCCCTGCCTGTGTCGATCAACAGCACCCTGACCAGCTCTACTCTGCAGCCTCAGACAACATCGATAATACCTGTTCACAAAGAGCCATTTTTCTGCTCTGTCACCAGAAACTTACTATTTCACAGAATGTCCAAGACAGATGATATGAAGCTGTTCTTCAGTAAAGGCTTAGCAATGAAAGAATTTTCTTTGATCTTGAGAGATATCTTGTCTTAATAAGCTCAATTGATGAAAATCAAAATTAAACTCAAATGAATTAGAAGGCGATTATTAATTTTATGGAGGGCTTTAACATGTCACAGAATATTTTTCTAAATGTTAAGATGTTTGAAGTACTGTTCAACATGGAAAAGAAAATTTTCATATAAGCTTTACAAATGCATACACTGTCAAAAGCATGATTGTATCTAAGGTTTTATGTTTAAGACCTCCATCTTTAATTTCTGGGTTTTTTAAATGTTTATTTTTTTTCAATTTGGAAATATAGCCTCCCCTTTATTCTACACAGAATGAAAAAATTGTTACATAATGCCACTATTTAAAAAATGTACATAGTAACAAGTGGGAATCTTCTGCTCTGTTTAGTCTACCGCTGTTGCTATGGAGTTAATCTATCTTTTTTGTTTTGTCCTACAACAGAGATACCCAGGTAAAGAGCAGTAAAATGTAACATGATGTCTGAGGCAACAGGAAAAATCCCCACCATCAAATGCTGCTCCAACTTGTGATTGTTGATATTCGAAAAACAGAAGAGAAACTTAATTAAAATCTGAAGAAGCTTGAAAGCAAATATCCCCGGGTGACATTTCATTTAAAGTCACTCTTAGGAATGAATGTCTGCTCTCTGTGGAGAACTGAGGGATTAGCTGGAACAGGGCTGGGAGTAGTTGAAGAAAACAAACGCTGGGACTCCAGTGATCCCTTACAATGGTGGGTGACCATCCAGTGGTGGCCCATGCCTCCAGATATGTCCCAGTAATAATGAGAGAATTCTAATCCAAAATATCTGTACACACACAGACACAAATCAAAAAGTAAATAAGTTGAGTAAAGAAAGTGAATGGACTCAAGACACTGATAGCATATGCAGAATCTTAAATTGAAAAGAAAGTATATTTTGTGGTTGGGGACTATTTTATGATTTAAGTGTGTTATAATCCAATCATTTCAAAGATCTATTGTGATTTATGGTAAATGTAAGTTGAATTAATTTGTTATTCAATGACTATATAGGTTTGGTATTAATTTAAAATGTCAACCTAGCCTGTTTTGGAGGCCAATTGTACTTATTAAACTGAAAAAAATGTAGTTAAGGTTGATTCACTAAAGTATTAATATTTGTATTCAGTTTGGCTTTACAGTTTACCACAAGTCCGTTTTTAGATCTTTTCTTGGCCTGAGAAAATGTCCAGAAACACAGGTTTCTCCAATGCCTTATACTATATTCTACCAGTTGTCTTAGAGATTTCCCTTCAGGAAAAACTGGACATATGGGTTATTTTCAAAGTGATAATATTAAAGTATAAATGAGTATTTGTTGACATGTTTGCATAGCCATTCTATTATTTTTATTTTTAAATTTTACTTTATCATTATACAATGTAAATATTTTGTGGTAAGCCAATTTCTCCCTAACTAGTGGTCATGGTCCAATAATTGCTATAGCATAGTTTATGCTAATGATTATCACTATATTAATTTCCCCAAATTTGACCTCTTGCCTTTTTTAAAACTTTTACTCCTGTGCCCTTCCAGCTACTGCCCCAAACACCACCCTTCATAACTAATGAGTCATAGTGCCTTTTTCTTTCAGATAATAAACCTAATCTGTGGGGTATAATCTCTTACCTCTGATCTTTTTCCCTTTATTAGATGATGGGTATTCAAAGGCTATTTATGAGGAGAGGGGGGTAGAGGGTGGGACTGCAAAGGGAGCAGCTGGAGGGAGCTGTAGATAATGTGTGTTTGGAAGACTAGTCTCTACATAGTCTAGGTCTTGCTTAATGTTTATTTACATTTTTAGTAGTCTACATAAACATGATGCAATAAGCATCAGGTTCACCCTGATGATAATTAAATGTATAGGTTTATCTATTTCTCATATCCTTCCACAATGGTAAATTCATAGGTATTTGGTAAATATTTGCCACATTAAAAAAAAAAAAATAACCCAAAAGTTGAGCAACTAAGATAGCAGGATAAAGAATTTACCATTCTTGCTTTGGATGAAATGTGTACATCAGAAATATGAGTTTACCTAAAATCACCACATGCTTCCATTACCTATGTCCTTGGAAAAGGAGAATGACTCGCCCTGTCAGCTTCCCCAGAACATACCTTCACACTCAGTTTTAGTCAGAAAAGTCCCAGCTCTCCAAGGTTTCTGATGGAATCCTGGACAGCACTGATCACAGCTATCGCCACATGTGTTATGCTCACACTCACAGCGAGATTTCTAGTCAAAAGAGGAGGGAATGAACTTTAGTATTATTTAGAACCATAAATGAGAGGCTCTGAAAGGTCATATGAAGAAAAGAAAAAAACTTCTAGACTATGCACTAAAATGTAAAACTCCTGTCACCCTGGGAAGCAAAAAGTGCCAGCCTTGGAGGAGTATATTTGATGAACACCAGCTTAGCAAGGTTCAGGCTGGCTCTGGAAGCAGTGGGTTTAGACTTAGAAGAAAGTAGGAAGGCCTAATAGGGAGTAGTTTTGAGGACTGTATTCTCTTCTTTGATGACTGAGATATTCAGGATTTTGGGGATTGGATGTGTCCAGTTTAAGTCATCTCTCAAAGTGGTATTAACATTTCTAGATGTGGCAAAAGAGGAGGGAGTTGATTTCTAGGCATTTACTTAGGCACAGGTAGAACAGAAATCTAATGTTCCTAGGACTCAGTCTCCTCTGTGTGTGCGCTCTGAACACAGTCTCATTCACCGCATGGAACTGGGCTTCCAAGGCTGCCTGTGGTCTCTTAAAGCCTGGGAAATACCACCAATCAGTACACCTGATGGGCACCCATACCATGCAGAAAACAGCACTACAACCTTGCCCAGAAAAATATGCCAGGGTATTTGAAACTTCCTAGGAGATAACATTATAACCCGTTAATCAGTAAACTAGCTTTGAGTGTAATGTCATTTGTATTACAATTTTAGTGGAGAAAAAAATCCATAGCTCTACATATATTCACCGATCTTACTATTCAATATATTTCTTCCATATACTGTATAGCAGATGATTTTTAATTTTGCCAGTTTGTTTATGACAGCAAAAATAGATACTCTTTCATCTTCTTCTTTGTTAACTAATACATTGTTATTAACAAAAAATTCTACCCAAAAGTATTCCAGCATTTTCTGGTTTGGCACTTTCAGTGCTCTCTTGGATTCTCTCTTTCACCCGCTCCTTGTTGCCGCTGCCCTACCTCAGCCTCCTGTTTTGTGGCCATTTATGTTTACTTCCATGCACATTTTTCATTTGTTTGCATTAATTTTTTTGATTAAAAAATTTTAAAGAAATGGTCAGGTTGATTGATGGTAGGCATTCTCTAAAGCTAAATCATGCAGCGGGCTGTCACAGCTAAAGAGGTTTCAAAATAGATAGACTAGTTTGGAGCCTTTTTGGAAAAAAAACTAATCTGTTTTCTGATACTGTGATGGCTGACTTCAAAGTCTATCATCCTAACTGCCAGCTCTATTTCACCCTGGCACGGTGTTCTGTTACACGTCTAAGTGGGGATCTGACACGCATTCACAGTGTTCCCTGTCAGCAAAGCCTCTCACGAAGCATTTTACAGTTCAGAGCTTCATTTTTTTCTAAGCATCCTATAAATATACATACATTTGTCGCTGGATCAAGTGGACAAGCCCTGGCATGACCATAGCATATGCACATCCCTCCGACCGAAATATCCTTGACCGAGTAGTAATACTGCAAAAAAGCAATCCAGAGAGAAATCCTGTTAAGATGACTGCAAGGCGAAAATAACAAAGGAAACATTCAGTTAAAAACTTTATTTTCTGCTTTCATCCTTAGTCTGAAGCAGGTTTGTGTTTCTGGTGGACAAGTGAGGGATCACAAAACAGATAAAGTAACTCTCAGCATTATAATCACAGCCCAAAGAAAGAATACCTCTAATTTATGTGAGGTGGACATTTTAGAAATGTCTTTCCCATACACAGCACAAAGTCCATGCTGGAGTACCTGTTTCTGAGGGTAGTTTTTATCTAGGGCTAAGGACAATAATTCTTCATAAAAGTTGTTCACTTGGTTTCTTGAAAGAAAACCTCTTTTATTGTGATTTTAGAAAACTCAGTATTCATGAATAACATGCAGACTGTTTTACTTGATAGATTTGAAAAGAACCAACAAATTTAGGCAAAATTGTGTTAATAACAATACATTTCTTGCCTGTATTTACGAGGAAATAAAAAGTAACGAACTGCAAGTTTGATGTGAAGGATATTTGCTTTTTTATTGTGATGTTAAAGTGTTCATACACCTTCTGAAATTAATATAGGGCTATGATCCTAATTATTTTAATATACCCAGCTATCTATTAAAGATATTCAAAATTATAGAGCTGAGCTATTTTTAAAATTTTAACTAACATGGGTATTAAATTTTATAATTGTCAGAGCACTTTACATTACTATATGGAATCCAAATAATGATCTTAGTGGTAGATGGTTCTATTATTCCAATCATACAGTTAAAAAAAAAAACAAGATTTAATGAGAATAAGTAAGTGGACACAAACCTGAATGTTGAGTACAAATTCTTTTTTTTCCTTTTACTTCTTTCTTCTTCCTTTGGTTTGTTATTGTTATTTACATATAGTGTCTTTTAAAATATTTTTTATACATTATCTCATTTGATATACCTAGACCTTGAACTAATAGGACTCGCTAGAAAGTTTGGGTAATGCAAAAATCCCCTTTTCACTTAGCTTCATCATTTAATAATATAGATGCAATAGAGATATTTGCTCAGAAAGCTGACACAGTAGTATTTGCAGATGCTTTTAAAATTAGAAAGTCTGTTTTAAATATAAATGTAAAATGCTTTCCTTTTGAGTCATGAAGAGCTGAAATTCAATATCCTATTTTTATACACTTAAATTTACATGTAATGTTTATTGAACTTGAGTACTTTCAAAAAACATATTTATATGTTGACTTCTACTGCATTATTTCAAAGGCTCATGTACAATGCAGTTATAAATAATAGATGTGCACCCCAACCCCCACTCTGCCTCCTGCAAAAGATGATAAAAGGAACACTAATTTATTTCAATTGATTTTTTTTTTCTCTGATAGATATACTGTCAGGAAAGATTAAATTTTACTTCAATATTATTCAGCCTTCCTGGGTGTATATTTTTAAGTAATGCCAAAATTAGAATCAAAAGGCATTTTTTAAACAAGCAAAGGATCTAAACATTGCTATAAAAATAATGATTACTTCTGCATCAGAGAATTTACAATACAAAGTAAAATTATTTCAGGTTTGGAAAATACAGGGCACTAAAACATCCAACATATGTTGTATGGGGATAACTAAAACTTTAAAAGTTATTCAAGGTTAGGTGCGCAGAAGTTAAGTAATAAAGAGACAAAATATGTGGAGTATTCAGGAACTATGAAAATTCAGCCCACTGGTTCAGCAATTTGGCAATTGGTGGCAGCAGTTGAACTTTGTAGGATCATTCTAGAACTAAGTGCTTTGGCCCACCATGTTAGTTTCTCCCTACAATCCTCTTTCTTACCTATACCTCTACTCATATAGTAAGTACTCTGTTAGCATGGATTTGCTTTATGGATTTATGGCTGAATTGACTGTCTTGGTCATATGTCTTAGTTGTATAGCAGCATGTAAGGGAGGTGACATAAATCAGTGAATGTGGTAGGGGGTACAAGGGAGAAAGTGCAATTATCATTCATAGCAATCTGGCTGATCATCTACATCATAATCCTACAAATTCCAGTTTAACACTGGACGATAGCACTTCTGTCAGCTCCTGTGTTCAAAGATCTGTTAAAAAGATGCTTTAACCTATTTTTTTTTTCCTGATATTTTATTTGTAAAGGAGAATGAAACAGTACATAGAATCAGTTTTCCCTTAGGGCAGTGCATTTTTGCTTCACTATGGCTTGTGATTCATTAACAAAACACAAACTAACTTACTTTGTTAGACAAAATGATCCACATATAAGCAACACTGACGTCACCTGGGAACTTTCTAGAATTGTAGAAACTGTCTAGAATTGTAGAACTTTCTAAAATTGGAGGTCTGCCCTAGACATACTAAATCAGAATCTATATTTCCACAAGATCATTGGCTGATTCTAAGCACATTAAAATTTAAGTGTGTGTGTACTAGGTTATAATATAAAATGTATTTCTGTATAATATAAAATGTATTTTTGTGGCCAAAAATGTTTCAAAGCCCCTGCACTTCCAGTACTAACTTCCCAAAGCCAATTATAGTAGTACTACAGGTCACCTAAAAAACAGAAACTAAAATAGTCCTCAAAAATAAGATTATGCACTAGATAGTATGGTCCTTATTTTACAAAAGAGGAAACTAAAGTTTAAGAATGTTAAAAGTTTGATAAATGTTACACACCGAATAAGTGGCACAGTTTGGATTTGAACAAAGGAAGGTCTATCGGAATTTTAAAGTCTTTGATAATAACCACTCCTACAAATCACTAAAAGAATTATTTTTAAATTCTTTAACAATTGGACAATTAAAAAGATGGTGCAGTATCATTCACAGGCTTCAGTCTGATTCATCATAACTTACTCTTCTCGTGACAATGGGGTCAATTTCTCTTGGGTCTTTGTGAGCAAACATCATCAAGTCGGCATTCAGGGTGCGGATCCTCTGAAATCTCAGGCGAATATAGCGAGCAGAGGTAAATTCCAGCAGTTCAGGAGAAGGGTCGTCAGCACTTGGTCTCCCATTGATGAGAGAGATGTGAATCTACGCAATGTGAAAAATAATTTAACGACTAAGTTTACCAAAAATTAAATATCTGGTTTTGTTTCTTTCTTCTTGGAAAAATAAAGGCAAGTTCCCATTCTCCCAATTAGGCAGATGCAGTTTCATGTTTACTCACTGAAATATAGTGAAGTGATTGAAGTATTTTATGGTCTTTTTAATACATATACATCCAATTAATGTGCTTATGTTTTAGGTGTTCTCTTTATGCTACGATTAAATGTATCCCTCTATTCCAAGCCATGTCATCAACTTGACTGTCCTAGGATTTCTGTAAATTCTTAAATCGATCATCCTTTTTCTGACAATTATTGTGCCCTAAATTATTTAAGAATCTGATACATAGTTAGAAACCAGAAAATGTGGAGGAAAAAAAGTTATGAAATATCAGATAAAAACAGGGAACCCATCGGGAACTTTAAAAATTCTGAACTTGAAAGCATCACATTGTATAGGCATAAAATATAGAGAGCAAAAATGGGCAGATTATAAGGAAAATTTTAATCCAAGTAAGAAATTTCTATAGGTTGATTTTGTTGTTATTTGTTTATTTTTTAGTAACTGATAGACCAAGAAGACAAAAATTTACCAAGGATTTACAAAATATACAAAATTTACAAAAATTACAAGAATGTACACATTCTGTGAAAAATATGGTACATTATATGAAAATGTACTGTATAAAAATACTTTATATCTAGATGGAATGGTGAATTGTTTTAGGAAAATAATTTAGCACAATTGACACCAGAAGAAATACAATGTAATCAGACCATTTTCCATGTAAAAACATTGTCAAGGAACTGCCTACTGAAGGCACAGGAGGTTGACATGCTCTCACAGAGATTTCTCAAAAACAAAGAATTCTAATAAAGGACAAACTGATAAAATAAAAAGAACTCCTGTCAAAGATAAAGGAAGTATGTTCCTGATACCTAAAGAACTTCTATAAATCAATAAGAAAAAAGACCAAAAACATAATACAAAAATTGACAATATATGTGAGGGCACTATTCAAAAAAAAAGGAAATATAAATGGCTGTTAAACTTTTGATAAAATACTGAACCTCACTCATAATAAGAGAAATGTAAATTAAGAACACACTGATAAACTTCTTCCCATTTTTTCAGGTGGGCAAAACTCCAAAATATTGGTAACACTCTCTGATGGCAATGCTAAGGGGATCCAGGCATATCCTCTACAAGTACAGGTGTAAAATGCCACATACTAACCCCTAGGAAAGTCAATTCAGCAATAACTATCAAAATTAGAAGTGCATAGAATTTTTGACCTAGTGGTTCCACTTCTGGGAATTATCTTACAAACATAATATCGACATTATACTACCTACGGACTGAATCTATCCACTAGACTGAATGTTTGTGTCTCCTTCAAAATTTATATGTTGAAACCCTAAACCCAATGTGATGGTCTTTGGAGGTGAGGCCTTTGGAAGGTGATTAGGTCTTGAGGATGGAGCTCTCATGAATGGCATTAGTGCCCTAATAAGAAGAGGGCAGAGAGCTAGCTCACTCTCTTTCTGTCATGTGAGGATACAAGGAGAAGGTGGCAGTCTGCAAGCCAGGAAGAGAGTCTTCACCAGCACCCAGCCTTGCTGGTACACTAATCTCAGACTTCCAGCCTCCAGAACTGTGAGAAGTAAATTTCTGTTGTTTGTAAACAACCCAGTCTATGGAACGTTGTTATAGCAGCCCAAACAGACAAAGACAATAATACCTTTCAGCATTTTTTTTGGGGGGGGGGGTCATAGAAAAAGATTGGACAACACCTTATATCCATAATTGTGGGACTAGTGAATTAAATTATACATCTATATAATTAATTATGTGAAACCATAAAAAAATAAAAAAGACTGAGGAAACTCTCAGTATGCTGATTGGGAAGTACACTCACTTTTTTTCTGCTATATAGATGTTTTATTACCTAGGCAATAAATTGAGTCAAATCAAAATTGTTAAAGAAATTGAAATTGAGTGGGAGATTTGGAACTGAAAATACACACACACACATGCACATATGCACACACAGAGCTAAGGAGACAGGACTGCAACAAGTATGCTGTGGGAGAATTTCAGGCATAGGACGGTCCATGCATGTACTGGGTAGTGGTGACTCAAGGTCACCCACTGGGATTTTCATCCACTTTTGCAAGATGATATATCATGTGTGTTAATTACATTTTTTGACAGGAGTGGCAATGATATGTATTTCCATTCCTAATATCTTGCATTCAGATAAACCCAGAGAGCATTTTACAACCTGACTGCCAATAAACTACTTGAATCACTAGAGAAATGTAGCATACTCTGAGATGAGAAACTAATTCTGATGTCACAAAGAAAAAGACTCAAAATGCCTCATGATAAAAATATGAAATGTCCCAGCTAATTGAATCTATCTTGGATACTTAGTAAAGAATAAACTTATTTAATCAACACATTTGAGGGTGATGGAATTCAAGGTCTCCTAAAATACTGAATCTTAAAATACTGAAAATCTCTAATGCATGAAATTCTAAAAGAGTAAAGTAGATTTTGTATATTTCACAATTCTGGCAACTAGCAGGTGAGCAAAAAATGTGTTTGAAATTAAGTTGTCTTTATAGCTTAAGGAAGTACCAATTAAATGTTAAAATGAATAAGTAGATGCATGAAGCCATTATAACCAGTTTCCCTTAGAGATTCATTTTAGCATCCAAAAAAGTCACCAGTGAATTCATGCTTAAATTTCTTTCTAGTTCTCCATTGACCACCCCCAAAATACTATTTGAAAAAAAGGAGAAAATCACTACATGTCTATGATTAAATTTCTGAAAATTATTAAGGTTTACTTGGTTTTGATGCTGTGATGAACCACATTTGTGTTGTACAAAGAATTGGTGAGTTCCTCATTTAAACATACAAAGACTTTTAGGGAAAAAAAAGCGTATATGTTCACATTTAGGTTAATAAGCCATATGCAGTATTGAGCAAAACAATACTTCTCCTCACCGCTTTGGTATTTTCATCAAGCTACTCTGCCAAGAGATCTTGTGAGTATAGTTAGTCCCAAGCTGTTTCTGGGATATAAAACCAGCCAGCTGTTTGGCCTTGTTGTGTGCAGCTTCTTTCCGCTGTTTTTTTCCCTCCACTCTCCTTCAAAATACATCATAATATTGGATAAGATATTTTCACTAGCACTGTGCTGTGTAATTCCAAGTCCACTGGATAGTGGAGCATTCTTCCTGATTTCCTACGAGGTAGCAACTGGAGGGTGTCTATCTTCAAGGAAGATGAAAAGTATCAGTCCCCAAGTCCACCACTGTCTTGCTGTGAGGCCCTCGGAACTCTGTGGCAGTCTAGTGTCTGCCGAAATGGTTGTTATTACAGATATGTTGGCGGGTGTATGTTCATGCTGTCACAGGAATTCATTCCAGCTGAAAATATCAGACTATGATGATCAACTGGTTTTTAGATTTTAAAATTACACTTTTCTTTGCAATTAGTCTTCACAGACAAACAAACAAAATAACCTCATCAGAAATATCTCTTTTTATGACCAAATGACTAAGTTGATATTATATTCCATTCACCCAAATAATTCTGTTTTTACTAGTGTAAGAATACTACATAAATCATGTCTGTCTTGCATATGGATAAGACCTTTGTGCCTCTATGCATTTTTGCATTAGAACACATTTTTAAATGGTTTATGCAGCAAATAATCAGATTTCTAATATAGATAATTGTCCCTTATTATTATGCTTGTCTATTTATTTTACTATATCTGCTTTAGATTGCTAGAAGAGCTATACCTAACACCCTCCCCAATGATACAAGTTTGTTAAATGAATAAATAGATGGGAGAATGAAGTCTGCTGAAAGATCAGTAAAAACTATCAGAAACTTTAAAATGAGTAGTGGAAGTGGATGGAGTTGACAACTTGAAATCTAGAATGCTCTCTTAGAACACTGAACATTTTTGTTTGCATTATCAACCTCTATGAATGTTCCAATAAAGTAGATACAACACATTAAAAGTAAGGAGATCCCAGGAGATAGAACAATAATCCCATAGTTAAAGGCTGAGATTAGCTATCTCTAGGTGTGGCCAAAGAATTCCTATGTAAATGAGTGGCTGAGACATCTGGGAACCTCTTAAATCCAATCATGCTTAACATGGTATTATTTCAGGGAGGGAGAATAAGATTATGAAGATAACTTTGAAAAATGAGACCAATCATTTTTATTTTAGACTGTGAAAAAAAGTGTGTGTTTGGAGAAAGGAAGTGAGCTGTTGGAAGCTTAGGAGCAGGAAACAGTGCAGAGACTTATTGTGCTTTAGCACAGGGCAAAGGCTCTGGGTCTGGCTCTGGATGGTCAATAAATATACTTTTTTTGGTCTATTCCTCCACTGTGCTCCTATTATTCCAGAGCTCCCTCTGTTCCACTGTAACTTTTCTTGGTAATGTCACTAGTGTCCTTCACATTACTAGCCAAAATGGCCAGTCTCAGTCTTTGCCATATTTGACCTATTAGGAGCAGTTTGAAAAAACCAATTACTCCACTGACTTCCAGGACACACTGTCCATTTTTTTCTCCTACCTCTCAGGCCACTTCTCAGTCTCCTTCACTGCTTGCTACCTTTGCTCCTCCCTAACTTTCTAATATTAGGGCACCACAGCGCTCAGTCCTTGGCCTTTTCTTCTGCTGTATCCACACATGCGTAGTAATCCCATCAAGGCTCAGGGCTTTAAATATCAACATACTGATGTCTCCCACATTTCAATCTCCAGGCCTGACCTCTTCTCTGAAGGTCAAAATGCAGAAGCCAAGTGCCAACTTGATAAAGTTACCTGGTTGTCTAACAGGCATCTCAAACTGAGTTCCCGGGTTTCAGCCCTAGTCTTTCCAATCTTACTAAATAATTCCATCCTTTCAGCTACTTTTTTTTTTTTTCCTTTTTGTCTTTTTTCATGACT